TTTGAAGGCAGAGCCAAAGTGAATGAATGGTTGACCACAATGTCGGCGATGGCGGCCAGCGATGAGCTCAATGAGACACAAGTGAGACAATTGATCTTTGATTTGGAGTCTTCTTATAACGCATTCAATAAATTACTTCACGAATCGTAAACGTGTTGTGCTTTCAATCCAACGCTTTATTACTAATTCTTCAATTTATTTATACATTATATCTATTTATCTATTATTATAATTATTACTTCAAAATATTTTTAATATAAATCAAATATTTTGCGTATTTTAATGATTAAAAACAACAATAAATGTATAATACGGTAGTTATTGTAATATCCATATTATTATATCGTTTAATAGAATGATTAATATATTACTCAATGTTTACAAAATTATAGTAACATTTTCTTTAGTATTCAATAAACAAAAATATTTTTATGAAAATCAAAGTTTAATTAGAAATCGAAATTACAATGAAATAATGAATCGGATTATTAAAAGTGAAACCAAATAATCAATGTGTCAATAGCTCTTCAATCGGTCCATTCGGCGATGTTTTTAATCAATTGTTTCGCGTGTTTGATGGCATCGATTGGCGTGTAATTGAATGCAACCGATTTGATCCGACTTTCATCCATATATTGTTCTACTTTAGAGCCAATTCTGAACGAGTATTCCTTGAACTCAGAAGCGGTCAACGCCTTCACGAACTCCGGAGGATTACTCTCTTGCAATTCGTGCAACTCTTTGGCAGAAATGCCTAAAATCTTTTCCGCCTGTTCTTGGAATAGAGTGATCCACACCTCAGAAGTGCAGTCACTCAACGCCATCGACAGAATAAGTCTGGGCTCGAATTGTGTGGAGTCGGTCTGACATTTGGCGCAGTGATAGAAACCGTTGTTATTGTCGGTCACTTTCTTGAGACACCCATTTTGACCGCAAGCCTTATAGATGGGGTTTCGTCCGGTTTGCACAACTCGGGCCCTAATGTTAAAATACGATCGATTGTCGCCATTCACTGTTTGTTCGTTGATCTGCGACAAGAACTTCCATTCATTGTCGCGAACGCCTTCATAACTCTTAGACAAAGTGTTGGTCGAGAGTGTCTGACCTTCTCTTTCAAACCATTCTAACAGAAATACAATCAAAATATAATTTAATTTCTTCGTTAATGCAATGATTCAATGAGTGATTCATACCTTTCAAAATGTTGGTTTCGGGAATATCGGGATCTAATTGATATGTAGTGCTGCTGACACCCGACAGAGTGCGTCCATTGAACTCTCCGACCACCGCATTCTTGATGGCAATGATTTGGTTGGTCTGGCCGTCGAACTGTTCCGCCACTTCGTTCCAGAGAGTGAACCGAACCTCATATGACGTCTTGTCAACCAAAGCGATGTCTCGCTTCTTGAGCTCTTTCTGTGTCTTCTTACTGGTAATACTCATACATTCGTCCACATTCTTCACCACCGCTAACACATCGACCACCGATTGCAGCGCAACGCTCTCCAAGTCTTTGATCTGAACGAATCGATACCGTATTTTCGGCATTTCGGACACTTCGATGTCGGCACACAATTCGACCACAGAATCCGAGTTCAGTGTTATCTCGTAATCGTTGGCCAAATTCGAGAATTTCTTATTAGCCGTCTTAACGGTTCCTTTGGTGATGTAATAGACTTTATTCACTTCAATCAAGTCATAGTATTTATCACATTCTTTGGTGAAAGCGTTGACACGAATCTCAGTCGACTCGTCCATACAATCAAAGGAGAAGACACAGCCCTCTCCGCGAGCATTACTCCAATTCCTTTTGTTGGCCTTAGAAGTGACGCGCGCTCTGATCTTCCAGGCGTTGAAGTACGGAGTGATGGCAGAGATGGGACACACGCTCTGCGGACCACTCACTCCACTCTTCGCCGCCGCCATCGGAGACGCTGTCTTCGACGGCTCGGCTCTCGGCTTTCCATTAAGGGAAGTGTTGCCAGCATTGCTCAGAAAGCCTCCGTTCGACTCCTGTTTGTCCAGACGTTTGCCAATCTTCGCGCCCGACATCACGACAGACATATCGCTCACTACTATTATCTGTCAAATAATAAGATAATCATTGAGACAATAAGTGGTAAATAAGACTCATAGGTCATAGGATTCTTAATGTTAGCCCTCATAAGACACAAACCTCTCTTCCAATTCCTGGATTCACAGTACAAGTGTATGCCTTGAGTTCAACGACAGTGAACTTCTCGAACTCTCCCTTCGATATTCTTTGGATCAGTTCCGGAAGAATGATCACGAAATTACTGCACGTTTCCACGCCATCACTCATCTGAAACCTATACTTCAATTGATCCGATTGTGACATCTGTTTGTAGACAATGATCTGCAGAATGGGTCGATTGACCTTCTGATCGGCCAGAATCTGCTGCAGAGCCCCGTGGCTTAGCTGAGGGTAAGTGACGGCCATTCCTCCAGATATCGATTCAATTCAGTGTTAAATCAAATCAAAAGTTTAATTCAAATCCAATTCAATCACAAAAACGACACAAAAGCGCAAATGTGTTGTCATTTGAGCGCCAATACAACCGCTTTATAAGGGCTTAACTATACTATTGGGTCCACAACTCAATCGACCCTTTTATAAGTATAGATCGTATTACTATTACTGCCAATACGTGTGAATATAAAGTACCAAATGATCGGTAAGTTATAAAAAGCAATGAAAGTTATGATGAAATCGTAGAGTCTATACAATTCAGTAATGATGTGTTTGAGTGGACGTGAAGTGCACTCACTTTGCAATGCATTTCCAATGCTTTATACCTAAAAGGGATGCAATAGTGTTGACGTCATTACTCTTCAAATGACTCAATCTCTGAATGAATGCACAAATATTGACATATTTTGTGACAATAATATTTTTATTGACATCAAAAACAATTGCATTATTATTATAAACGCCTTTTAAATGAGTTGTGTTTGAATTGAATTGATTTTGTTAGCGATTGTCGTCGGAATCGATGCCATAATGTCTGCAGATTTGAAAGAATTGTCTCAAAAACAGGTGTCTTTGGAGAAAGCGGTTCC